CTAAGTCTTCAAACTGACATCTTGCTCTTTAACGTTTTACAAAGGTCTTCTGTAACATGTTTGCTTAATACAATACTTAGTTTGATTTCTTGACTACTGCATCCATGAGTGTTAATTGTGGACTTATGTAAAAGAAGTCTTTGACAACTTCAATCTTTTCTCCATTTATCATGATGTTATCTATTGGTCAGTTGGATTTTTGCTTTCTGAACATTGAGGTACAGTCCATACTGAAGGCTGTAATTGCTGATCTTCTTCAGTAAATATTTCAATTCCTCTATGTTTCCAGCAAAAAAAAGTTGTTTCATTTGCATGTTTCAGGTTGTTAATGCGTTTTCCTCCATTTTGATGCCACATTCTTCTTAATATAATCCAGTTTCTTGGATTGTTTGCTCAGCATGTTGTTGTTGTTAGTGACCCTATGTACAACAGAACAAAACACTGACCAGCCCTGTGCCAGCTTTACAATCATTGTTACACTTGAGCCCATTGCTGTTGTCACTGTATAAGTCCATCTCACTGGGGGTTGTTCCTCTTTTTTGTTGAGACTTCAGTCTACCAAGCATGATGTCCTTATCCCGATTAGTCCCTGTGAATAATATGTCTGATGTGTAACAGATGAAATGTCATCATCCTGGCCTCTAAGGAGCATTCTAGTTGTACTTCTTCCAACACAGATTTCTTCTGGCAATCCATGATACTTTCAATATTCTTCTCCAGAACCATAAATCAAATGCAATGAGGTACAACTCATACAAAAGGATCTGGTTTTTAATCTTCATCAGTAAGTATTTTAAGTTCTCTTTGCTTTCAGTAAGCAAGGTTGTATCATCTGCATATTGCAGGTTATTAATGAGTCTTCCTCCAATCCTGATACTTTGTTCTTTATATAATCTAGTTTCTTGGATTATTTGATCAGCATACAGACTAAACAAGTATGGTGAAAGAATACAACCCTAGTGCACCCCTTTCTTTACCTTAAACTAGTCACTATCCCCTTGCTCTGCTCTTGGTCTATGTGAAGATTCCTCATGATCACAATTAAGTGTTCTGAAAAACCAGTTCTTTGCAATGTTACCCAAAGCCTCTCATGATCCCCACAGTTGAAAGCCTTTGAATAGTCAATAAAGCACAGGTAAACATCTTTCTGTTATTCTCTACTTACAGCCAAGACCCATCTATCATAAGCAATGTTCCACGTCTTTATCTGAATCCCTATCAATGCACTGTTGCAGCCATTTTTAAATGTTTAGCAAAATTTTACTTGGATGTGATATTAGTGACATTGTCTGATGATTTCCGCATTTCATTTGGGTCACATCTCTTTGGAATAGGCACAAAAATGGATCTCTTCCAGTCAGTTAGTCAGGTAACCATCTGCTAAATTATTTGGCATAGATGAGTGAATGCCTCAAGAGCCTCATTAGTTTGTTGAAAGATTTCAATTTGTATTCCATCAATTGCTAGAGCCTCGTTCTTTGTCAGTGTCTTTGGTGCACCTGGAACTTCTTCCTTCAGTACCATTGGCTCGTAATCATATGTTATCTCTTGAAAGGGTTGAACATTGACCATTTCTTTTTGTTACAGAGACTCTGTGTATTCCTTCTACCTTCTTTTGATGCTTTCTGAATCATTCAATATTTCTGAATTCTTCAATAATGCAACTCCAGGCTTGAATTGTTTCTTCAGTTATTTCAGCTTGAGAAATGGTGAGCATAACCTTCTGTTTTGGTTTTCTAACTCCAGGTCTATACACATTTCATTATAATACTTTAGTTGGTCTTCTAGTGCTGTCCTTTGAAATTTTGTGTTCAGCTCTTTTACCTTCTCATTTCTTCTATTTGCTTCTAGCATCTCTACATTGGAGAGTAAGGTTCAGAGTCTCTTCTGATATCCTTTTCAGTCTTTTCATGCCCTCTTGTGTTCCTAATGCCCTTTTGAATTCTTCCTGTATGCTATTCTTAATGTTGTCCCACAACTCTTCTGGTCTTCGGTCATTAGTGTCTAATGCATCAAATCTGTTCTTGAGATGATTTCTAAATTCAGGTGGGATATGTTCGAGATCATATTTTGCATCTCATTAATTTGTTTTAATTGTTTTTTCAACAAAATCACTGGATGAGTTTGAATCACGAACTTTTTGGTTAGCAGTCAAAAGCACACTGTGTTTACCACTTTCTTGTTGTTATTGTTGGGTGCTGTTTACTCAGTTAGGCTCATATAGAAACAGTCTGCAAAACAGAACAAAATACTGCCTGGTCCTGTGCCATCTACTTAACTATTGCTATGTTTGAACCCATTGTTGCAGCCACTATGCCAATCTATCTCATTGAAGGTCTTCCTCGTTTTCTCTGACCCTCTACTTTACCAAGCATTATGTTCTTCTCAGGGGACTAATCCCTTCTAATAACATGTCCAAAGTACGTGGGACAAAGTCTCCGTTTCATGAGCATTCTGGCTGTTCTTCTTCCAAGTCAGATTTGTTTGTTCTTCTAGCAGTCCATGGCACATTCAATATTCTTCACCAACCACATAGTTCCAAGGTATCAATTATTCTTTGGATTTCCTTATTCTTTGGCCAACTTGTACATGCATACAAAACAGTTGAAAAGACTATGGCTTGGGTCAGGCACACCTTAGTCTTCAAAGTGACATCTTTGCTTTTGAACACTTTAAAGAGATCTTTAGTAGCACATTTGTTCAATGCAATACATCACTTGATTTCCTGGCTGCTGCTTCAATGGGCATTGATTGTGGAGTCAAGTAAAGTGAAATCCATGACAACTTCAATCTTTTCTCCTTTTATCCTGATGTTATTTATTGAGATGCAATCCATACTGAAGGCATGGATTTCTTTGATCTTCATCAGTAAATATTTCAAGTCCTCTTCATTTCCAGCAAGAAAGTTTTGTCATCTGCATATCACAGATTGTAAATGAGTCTTCCTCCAATCCTGATGTCATGTTCTTCTTCATATAGTCCAGTTTCTTGGATTATTTGCTCAGCATACAGATTGAATAGTATGATGAATAGTATGATGAAAGGAGACAACCCTGTGCACACTTTTCCTGATTTTAAACCATAGAGTATCTCTTTGTTCAGTTCAAATTACAGCCTGTCTATGTACAGGTTCCAGATGAGCACAATTAAGTGTTATGGAATTCCCATCCTTTGCAATGGTATCCATAGTTTGTTGTGATCTATACATTAAAATGCTTTTGCATAGTCAATAAAACACAGGCAAACATATTTCCCGTATTTTCTGCTTCAGCTAAAGTCCATCTGGCATCAGCAATGATATTCCATGTTCAAAGTCCTCTTCTGAATCCAGCTTGAGTTTCTGGCAGTTCCCTATCCATGCATTATTACAACCATTGTTGAAT